CCAACATTTCCAGAATTTGATTGTGATAAAAAAAATTGCCCGCTCATGCGGGTCACGCCGCCTCTTCCTTTCCCCACCCGGACGGACTGTATTGTACTGTACTCGTCTCAATCCAATGACATTTCCCTTCAAAAATTTAGCCGATACATCGCGATAGTCGAAAAACGATCGATACCTCCAACCATCGATAGCGGTATCGATGTATCGACCAATCGTGACAGCCCTACTCGATGCCCACGACCCAGTCGCAACGCGGCTGCATGCCGCATGTACGAGGGGAAGGTTGGGGAAGGGGGGGGGGGGCTTCTGCCCAATTTTGAAACTGATATCAGACTCACTGGTAAGAGGCTGCATAATATGAAATATCATTAATTTTAATTTGAAAAAAAATTTTCTCTCGTTCCGATTAGCGCTAGTTGGCATAAAGTGGACGCTAACCACATAAAATAAAAACTGTTATTATCGTGTTTCTTTGCGCGGCACCCATCCATAGTGTCAGAGCATCTCAGCGTAAAATGCTATTGACAGCTTTTTTTTCCATTTTGTCTCACGATCAGACTCGGCCTATGAGCTGAGTTAGAGCCCAAGCCCCTTCCGGTTTTGTTGCATTCGCCGCGATTGTCACCAATCACGATACAACGCGTGTAAGTACTGTTGAGGACAGTGGCGGATACAGGGGGGGGGGCGGGGGGGGGCGACCGCCCCCCCTATAGCCAGGTTAGGATTTGATTCATTTATTCAAAATAGCATCTGCATTAAATTTTATTGGAGCCAGTGAAATAGATACTCGAGTTCTTACTCCAGACGAAAAATAAATGGGGGGGGGGAAGGTAGGAACTTTGGAACCGCCCCCCCTATGAAAAATTTCTATATCCGCCACTGGTTGAGGATGAGCTACGTTTTCATTGTCCTTTTCTGAGAACTTCACATTTACATTTCGCGAGCTGACGCTGTCACATTCATTAAGTTGTGCCGAGAGATTTTTGTCACATTCTTATCGTTTGCTCGATCTTAAAAATTTCCTTGTGCTGTATGTAGATATGTGATAATGATAGATTAGATAGGTGAATTAGAATAAATAGAATCTGTGTGAGCCCGGTTCACAAATGTTATCTTGCTTGCGGCTGTTGAGTATCGACCAATGCGAACCTTTCCAAAGGGACAACATCCATCTCTTCTGCAAGTAAGGCAGTTTTCCGGTGACCATCAAAGTACCTCATCGTGCATTGGGCTTCATCATGGGCCACGTCAGACAACCGCACGTCACACATGAAGGCGTTTTAATCACGTATGTAGCATCTTACGAAAGAGGGTGAATTGCTTTTTTGTCCCACAGTGTGTTTCTGCCTGACGCCTTTCACGCACTCACCACCTGACAAACAAAAAAGCCATTCCACACATCGAGTCTCACTTGAGGTTCATGCAGCTTGAATCGGTTCCCCCTCGTCACGCTACTAACATGGAGTCGAAAAATATACCAGGCTCCATGCTATTAATACCCTTAATGATTTCCCATTTTGCATGACAATATTATTGGTAAGTGGTTAACGATGTTGATGGGATGTTGACGGAATGTTGATGCTGACGATGCAATGCAGTTCGCACTGATTCGATGCTTAAAAATATAATTAAGCAAGTATTATTGCGAGGGCAAGGAATTCACGTTGCATTTCAGTGGAGTGCTCGATGCTCTGTCCATTTTACCACAACATGATGTCGGGTGAGCTATCAGGCAGTTATCAGAGCGAACAAGGCCCTAGTAGCATGTAACACTGAATCAACATCGAATCAATGTTGTTTCAATGTTATATGCTACTAGGGAGTTTACAGACCCCGAAGAGAGACGGCGACTTGACCGCTAATACAGCGAGTTACCTTATATATGAAACTGACATGAGTCCCCTGTAATTTTGGAACAGTACTTGCTCTTTTCTTAGTAGACGTCACCAGGGAAGGGATTAAAATTCCAGGATGCATTCGACGAAAGAGGCAACCCAATTAACGAGACCCAGGGTGATTCTGAGCTGGGGAATGGAGAGGAGAAAGTTATTGTGGTGATTCAACTCCATGAGACCCTTCCACCAGACTAGAGGACATTCCAGTTCAAGTTCTGCGGGTTGCGCAGGAAGATCTATGCTGTGAGGAACAGCCACTGTATTAAGCGATTGTTTCCGCGCGACTCAGATGCCCTCTCTAACGTCGACATTGAATCAATTACGTAACAGGTTAAAAATGTACTAAGATCACGCTGGCGCAACATCAACTTGTTATTGAGCACTTAACTAGACCAGAGCATGAATTAAATACCTCAACGGTGCTGAGGCCTGTCCCATTTCGACATTGTGCCAACGAAGATTCACCCTAGAAACTTTAATACTTTTACAACATTGAGGCGATATTGTTGTACAGAATGAGTTGATATCTCCCCTAGAGAACCAACTTTCCAGCGAATAATCACAAGGCGTCAAAACCCCACTCGCATGAAACCCTCCAAACCGCTTTTATCTCTACCAGTTGCGCGATTTCATGCGTGCGAGATTCTTGCGACATCTTCACATGTCGGGGAGTAAAATCAAGAGGTAAAGCAGAAGATAGCAAGTGCAGGTAAATCCCAGGAGTGAATTTCAGTAATTGTAAAAAAAAATGTTCAGGAAAAACTCTCCAGAGCGCCGTCAGAGTTTTGTTACGGAAAAATTGCTTCACTCCGAGGTTTCGAAATTGTGTGAGATCTAAAGAGGAATCAAATTAAATGGTAATATCTTTGAATATATGCCTCTTAGTCATGTTTCAGCTACAAGGAGTTGGTTAACGTTACCCATGCCTTGAAAATCCATTTTAGACATACGATCGGATACAATGGCCCACAGCGAGGTCCAGATCGGATCTCAGAGGAATACGAAATCTTTCGGCTAGCATTGAGTTGTCAAATTTGAAGAGTCAAAAACCATCGTGAACCTGGCTATCCTCTGCTTCTAGGCATCTGTACATCAATTTGGCGAGCTCCAACAAGACTAAGCGCAGGCGGCAGTCTCAGTAAAGATATTAATTTCCCATTTTTCTCGTCTTGTGTCCTTAAAGTGATTTTCTGTTAAGGTAGTAACCCACACAGCACAGGGATATCCCAGGGATGTCCCTAACTGGACGACTTGTCCCCATGTCTTTATAGGATATCCTGAAGACATCTCCTTTCGGACGGTTTCGGACATCTCGCAAGGGATGTCTTCGGGACGTCTTTTAGACATCTTCAGTCGATATCTTAATGACATCCTTAGTCGAATGCTTCTGGATATCCTGGAGGGGATATCTTGATGCCACCAGGGAAAGTGAAAAAATCGCGGTCCGAACTTTAATTTATCCCTTTATATTCTCATTAATGATGTCTGATCGGCATGTCTGGATACAACTATATTGGTTGGAGGCCTGAGCCCAGAGTGTTTGTAAGGCATAAGACTGCATCATATCATCCATGGTCTCTTCTGCTAAAAGTGCTAATTGTCGTCCCTTGGGGATGTGTCTCCTATGATGGGGTCCCCTTTAAGAAACGGTATTTTCCTCCCCCTTAATGGTCACTCTTCAATCGATCAAGAACTTTAGATTAGGTGTTCGTAAATAAAATACTGATACCTACGAAAGCAAAGGGTTCTCCTGTGCGATAGGAAATGAGTCCATTGCGGATAGGAAGGCCCCTACAAGTACTACCTGGGACTTCTCACTATAAAGATATCCTATAAAGACATGGGGACAAGTCGTCCAGTTAGGGACATCCCTGGGATATCCCTGTGCTGTGTGGGGAATTGATTTTTTTGTTAAAAGTATTATTATGCTTTTCTGTACGTCGGAAGCTTAACTCTCCATTCCGTTAAGATGTCGTGTACAAAAAAGCTCGCACGACATTGATAGAAAATTTAAAAATATTAATAGGTCACATTGTTCTTTCAGACAGTGTATTCCCCCCTGCTCCCAACTTTATCAACTCTTCATTGTGAGTTTGGTGCAGCACAAACATTTATCGTGGGACGCCGCTGTTGGCCCACCATTTTCAAAGTCTGCGCGCCCCTGTTCAAAGTCAAGCCAGAGCGAAGCTAAAAACACGGGGGCACCACTCCGCCCCTCAGGGTCAAATTTTGAAGGGGTGTATCTCAGGTCCTCGGAGTCAGAAAAAAATTGAATATTGGATATTGATGTTTCTCTATCAACCCAGTATTATTTTTGTGAGCGCGCGCGCGTGTGTGTGTGGTGGGGGGCAAAATCTGTGGCTAGTCGGCTGCAACCATTTGGCAAAGAATGACCCCTCCTTGGATGCGACATAGTGCTTTCAGATCGACTTTTACCCACCTAACCCTTTTCCATAGCGCTGTACCCAACAGTGCTCGAGAGATACCTGTTAATCGCAATCGCCATAACTGCAAAAAGGTAGCTATGAATGAGGGCATTGGAGCGACATCCCTTTTCGAGCGGGCGAACTGTTACTTCACAACTCGACGGCAGAGACCATAGAAAACACGGAGCACGTGTTAGTAGAGGTAAGAGTGAATTCGAAAACTGGAGAAATAACGTTGCTGTTTAAACTGTGGTACGAATTCATTTGCAAATAATTTTACAGTGAAGCACTCATGTCTTATGTCACTTAGTGTCTAATTTCATTCTAAGTGCAGATGAATAAATTTGGGGATGTGGCCCGTATGTTGGCCTAGGAGTAGCGTTTAACCCATTCAGGCACCAATCGGTCTGTCAGCCTGAATACCTGAATGTACTGAAGAAAAAAAGTGTCTGAAAGGTTTAATAGTTTTTGTCACCCCTTGAAAAATGACACCTTTGAAATTTGTTAACCCCGATAGTGATTTTAACACTTCGCATACTGAATTGCATCATGACCATTTCCTCGTTTGTTTTTAATAAAAACATCGTAATGGCGCCCATATGCAAATCAACCTCTAATTTCAAGGTCCTGAATAGCTGGAGACGAGTAATTGGTTGTCATGGCTACGATTGGATTGACAATGTCGGGTAGATCCCCTGCTTCTGGACAAGTGCTCCATGAAATAATTTTTGGGGAAATGTGTAAATAAATGTTTTCAGTTACTGTGCCCAACGGGTACGAGGTGGGCGAAAACGTTTCAATCTCCTTGAAACCTTAGGCTAGACCTGCAACTTTAGCAGGGCGAAGCCTAGCTTTAGAAGTTCGGCCTAATGGACTGAGAAAAAATCTGGCCTATTACAGGGCATCATAGGATCCACTAGTCTTACTCTGCCTCTCACAGACTCACGTTGTTGACATGTCTCTAATTGAGAAAACTCCAATCTGATGAATCATTAGTCCAACATGTAGCAAACTTGATTCAAATCTATTTTATTTAATGTTAGTTGCAGATGTGATCCTCAGATAATGGCTGAGCATCAAGGCACCAAAAGTTTTTTTGATGTGTTCGTCATATCAGTGAGGGATGTGAAACAAAAGGAGGCAACAGTGGGATTACTCTCAAGGAATAAGGATCTTCTGTTGCAACATTGCAGAATTCATGTGTATGAAGATCCTCCGGGGCCACGCAAAGGTGAAGCATTTACTTTCTTATCAATTGTGAGGTGACAAATGTTGCATCTGATGAAATTTTATTTTTCATACCCCCACCAATCAGAAGCAGGAGGTGCCACTTTCTACATTTTGGAGAAATTGCATACATGCTACAAAGAAAAACTCTTCGACATGAAAATCCTCTTGCTGCATTCAGGTATGTTGCCTGCCTATGATGTGAGCTGCAAGTGGCACTACTCATATTGAAAAAAATCAAGATTTTATCTGAAATGCACATAAACTCTATATGGGGCACTTAGGGTGTATCATATGTGATGATATGTTGTCATATGGAATGATGTCATATATCATATTTAATTATTGAAAATTTCAGTGAAAATTATAATAAATACCAGGTCTTTATGTAAACTTGATGAAAAGCATATGGGTGGGTCATTCCACGTCAAATCAACATGGTATTAAAAGGTGACTTTCTCTGATTTGAATGCAATTTGACAGGCTTATTTATACCTATTAGAAAATGACCTACAGCAATTATTGGGTTCATTTGACTTCTTGTTCCTCAGATATGATGTCATGAATATTCAAGTCAAAATGCTTTCTTGCTGTGCTATGAGTCTTCCCTTCATAACTTCTGTTCTCTTTGATCTAGAGACCTCTTCATAAGCTCATTCGAAGGCTCTTTTCAAACCCTTTTGAATCATGTGACTAGGATTTTGAATAATTGCTAAAACTTAACTTTTAATGAGGTCATCATAATGACCTTTGAGCTCATATTACCAAAAATAACCATTTTAGATTTTTTAAAAATTGAATGGCTTGCAGGCAAGATATGTAGCTACCTCTATGTTGAATTTTACTTTGGGTTCTCCAGAAGTTCATGAAAGAACTACAAAAGAGAGTACCATTGATTGCAACTAACATACCTGCATCCAGAAATATCTTCAAGTTTAATGGACTGCATAGAACTAAACACAATAAATAAAAATCAAAACTATAATCACATAGAACCAAGTCCTAAGAGCATCTTGAAAGTAAAGTCTCTGTTCTGGTTGTTCATATGAAGACATGCCAATGCATGCATCATCTCTTCATTGGATAGTTAGTATATATGTCCTGTTTCAGTAAAGGGGTTAATAAGTGAAAGGACCTGGCTATGATTAACTCTTGGCTCCTCAGATCTGTGAGGATAAGAAACTGAAGAAGCTGGACTCTGTGGATGAAAGAAATGAACAAGAATTTTCTGATTGTCTTTAATTTTCTCAAGAACATATGCAAAGTACCCATGTCCACCCCTTTTACATCACAAACCTTCTGATGCTAGAACATGGGATCTCCACTGGAGTGCTGTTTTCTCCACCCTACTCCTTCAAATAAGCATCTTATATCTTGGGCCATTATTGACAGCCCAGAAAGGCCCAAACACTTTACCAATATTGTGCCATTCTTGGCTGGATCGATTGGCCTTCCTCTGGCCGATGAGACATTTCAGCCTTGGGCCATTCTTGGCAACCAAGGAGGGTCCAAGCACTTTTGCCATTGATATGTTGTGGTTGGCACAATGATGTTTGGCAATCTGGGTAAGCTTTCAATCTCAAGTAGAATCTGCATATAAGAAGTCATTCTCTTGATCCTTCTCTGCAGCACAGCTCCTTTCATCTACCACTGAATGCCCTGACTCAATTTGAAACTTTGTAGATGCTTGCATCTTGCCAACTTTGCTCTACACACTTCCAATCTATTGGGAACTTCTATCAAAGAAAACTTGTGGTCTCATATCTAAGACACTCAATTGCCTGGATCAAGTAAAAAATGGAAAACTTGCTTCAAATTATAAACAGAAAGTACTTAACCAGATACAATTTACAAGAGACAAGTTTCTTACTAATCTTAAGAGCAATGGGGCCCATTAGCTGTCATCATACTAGTGTTTGATGGGGTCCAAACTTGAAGACAGTTTATGTACCCAAAAGTGAGAACTACCAAATTCAAGAACAGCTTCTTCATGAGGGGATCAGAAATCAGCCGCCTGTGGGATTGTGACACCAGTCTTTTGTTTTGTTCTGTGTTTATGTTGATGGCCCGAATTAAGGCTAATAAAGGGTCATTTCACAGCCTATCATGCTTAATAATGGGCCCTATTTTAAATGTATTGTTAATCTTTCTCCATTAAACATATTTGCTGTATTGGCATTTATGGAATGGGCACATATGAATCATGTTCCAGAATCATGGAAATTCTTGTACATGGCATTTCTTCTCTTTTGGGCCTTATGCAGTCAATTCTAAATATACTGCTACTCTGTAACTGTCATCCTCTCCTTTTGGCAACTCCTACATGAGGAAAAATTTTCCCCAAAACTTTTTGAAGGTAATCCCCCATTATACCACCACCCTCACAAGCCACAATTGCCCAACACCATTTATACAAGCATGTGTTTTCCAATATAAATCTTCCTTGATTTTGTGTCAAATAACAGAAGTGATGCAACCCGTATTCAGTCATATGTGCAGCTACATATATGTTGCCACCATGAGAGGTGACTCAGCAGTGAAAGGGATGGTTTATAGGACAAGTTTCATGCATCAGATGGGAAAAAGAATGGCAATATAAGCATCACATATATTTGTCTATTTGTCCATGTGAGATTTCGGTATCATAGCCACTAGCATACTGCAGTTTGTTCCACAGGGTATGGAAAAAAAAAAACTTTTAATCAATGTTTCTCTTCTCTTACTGGAACAATTTTCATAAAGTATCATAAAACATACCCTGTGCATAAGCTGATATCTTTACAACAGCCTTATTAAATTTCATAAAAATTCATTTACTCAGAGAGCAATATGAGCAATCATTCAAAAGATAAGATTTGTATGTATGTATGTATGTATGTATGTATGTATGTATGTATGTATGTATGTATGTATGTATGTAAAATGGACAGTAGTCTGCACAATAATGGAGAGGAAAAAACACTTTCACATTGTAGTTGCATATCATGGAAGCCCAGAATCGGGCATCTCCTACATGACATGTGGCACCATTCAATTTTGTTATAACTGTGCAAGCAAAGGAATGAACATCACCTGGAGCACATCTTGCAGGGTTCTGGTAAGTGCACTTTTGAAAGTACTCCAGGTCTCCTCAAAATGAGGCTTTTGAAGAGACGGATCTCTTCTAAAACCTGCTCCAATCATACCCATCGCATTTGCAGACCATGTTTCAGGCAAATGGCAGGCACTTGAACTATTAATGTCATTGGATGAAATGAATTTTGATGAATGAACTTTTAATTTGATGCAGAGATTTTATTTGTGCTGTTTTCAAGTTTTTCTGGGACCTCCAAGCAAAAGCTTTTGTTACACCCCATATATAGTGTCACCTGCATTATAGCACCAAAATCAGTGATGACCAGCAGTGGTGATTTGTCAAGGGTTGACTGTATTTTGTTTGGAATAAGTGCATGCTGCACATGAATGTACAATTCATTGAAAACCTTTATAAGAGTAATGAACTTCTGTCAGATACTTTATCATATATCCAGGACTCTGTACCTCACACACAAATACTTAATTTACATGGAACATTTAGGGGTCTGTCCACCGTGACAGACGTGACATCCAGAGTAATATGTTTGATACACAAAATGTATTAACCTATATTATAAATGACAAATCAACATACAAAGGTTGCAACAATTTGCTTTAGGCAGTGACTGAAAATTCCAGAATCCAAAGTCTTGCACACTCTTTTTTGATAGAAGTGTACCTATGTGTGAAGAAAAGTGTCAGACATGACATTTTATGAAACCTCATGTGCAAGTCACTTGCTGTAATGTTCACATTTCTGTCATAGAGTGGAACCTAACAACTTAGTATTATGCTCATTCTAAAGTTTAAATGAAAGCCTTTAATTAGAATAAGTAACCCCAGGATCACAATACATGGAAAAGAAAGTAAGGCTGTTTTATAACTGTTAGATATGACAAAAAATGTTAATGTGACATGTTCAGAAAATGTATTTTAAAATGAAAAGTCTGTACAGATCTTTTAATGTTATTTTTAATGTATCATTCAAATGTGAACAATTGACATCTACTCTTCACACCTGACCTGATTTGAAATCATTAGTATACATAGGAGAACCCATGGTGGCATCTGTTCCAGTAGTATACAGTCAACTCTCAATATACTGCCACTGTTGGTCTTCGCCAATTTTAGTGCTGTATCAAGGGTGGCACTATATCAAAAAGCACAGCTTTAAAACAGAAAATTTCTGAAATAACTCAAATGTAAAATTGAATTAGCAAAAAAAAAATCCACTTCAATTCATCCAGGCTGCCAATGGAGAACAAAAACTACACAGCTTTGAAAAATGATTCACAATGTTTTGCTGACTTTTGGCCTTATGCACCTCCTTGTAATGACACACTTCCACTTTTTCCCTCACATTTATAACTGTCTTATCCCTATTACTGGATAATGAACAGGCTTGAACAATTGTCTGGAGAAACTTTGAATTGAAAGAGGCTTTTCCATCCTCCAAAACAAAGAAAAGGAGAGGCAGGATTAGGTCAGATTAAGAGACCCCTTACACCCCCATCTAATCCCTGGCGTCCATGCCAAAGCTAAGTCATCCCTCACAATCTCGTTATCAAATGATCAAAAGGTCCACCATGGTAGTGCATGGTATAATCATTGTAGCTGGCACAGTATGCTACTTGGCACTATATTGAGTACGACTTATGCTGAATAAGGCATGTTTGTGCAAGGCAAGGAATTGGCAGATGGTGGCTTGCAAGAGTGGCACTATAACGAGGGAGCGCCAATGATAAGCCTATGGGGAAGATTCGTTCTCAGGAAAGAGTTGGCGCTAAGCAAGAGTGGTGCTACATCAAGGGTTGACTAATTCAGTCTCTCCAATTTGTATTTTCATTACATCCATGAATATCTTGAGAATGGTATGAATAATATAAAATAAACATGACTAATTCTTTCGTTTTTCAATGTAATATTCTCCTGGGAAAATAGATTATGAACTTTCACAGCAAAAGTAATATTTGCATATTTGGAGAAATTTAGGGTTGAAATTCTAGGAACCCTTGGTGTGGACAGACTCATAGGCAGCACAGAAATGTTTGATGCATGAAAATCCTTAATTTGTCGATCAAATATGTTCTCATATATGTAGCTTCAAATATCAATACATGGAAGATATTTAAATATAAATGGCACTTGTAATTGCATGTAACATCTATATGTGCTCTCTCCATTTAGGATATCGACCCTTGAGGAGATCCTCAGACAACCTTGCTGAATACACTAATGTTTATCCTAAGGGTAGCTCTTGATAGCCACTGTAAAGGCACACCTTGGATTCCATAATGCTCAAGTTAAAATGGAATATACAGGGTGTTCCATTAGTCAGTTTACTGAGGGGTTTTCAGTTATGCCAAATTCTCCTTAACTTTGTTATTAATTTAAATGTTAGAAATAAATTTTTAAGCATGTGTCTCCCTTCACCTAGAATGAAAATAAAACCTTTTAACAATAATGGCAATTAATTACAAAAACAATATCACATAACATTAATTAAATTAATTTAAGTAAGAATAGCTGAAAATCCCTTGGTAAACTCATTTATGGACACCCTGTTTTATGAATAAGTGAATCAGACTTTTTAATGGACTGGAAAGCACCTATGCATTTTCCATTATTGCTAAGAGTGATACTGATATCAGTAAGTTTTTATTCAGGCTATTTATTTGTTTATTTTTCCCTATGAAAAACCTTACTGTTTAGAAAAATATATAAATGACTTTGTTTCCAAAAATGCTATTATTATTTCAATAATTTTTCTGTTGCTGGGAAGAACAGGAACTGGCCTATATTTTCTAATTTTACCAATGGTGCCTCATATGAAAAAGTTACTCCTGTTTTTAGTTTTATTGGGACTACCTTCTTCAGCTAACAACTTGAAGCATGTGTTAAAGGCATTGCTGCAGAATTAGCAGGATCTCTCAATGACTCCAGGTTTATATTATGACAGCCCACTGCATTCCCATTTGTTGGAGAGAAAAAAAAATGGTTTTGAAGGGGATCCCTACTAAGAAGTATAAAATCTCTAATCTTCTTTTGATTAATTTAGCTAATTTTGCGCTCGATTTAAAAAATAGCCATTTATCAGCTCAAATGTCCCTTCTGAGCTGTTGCTGGTGGTACCATCCAAATTTTCACTTCATGAAATGCCAGGATGTTTTCTATAGATGTTAATATTCAGTGCAACATTTATAACTTCTCTTGTTCGTTTGGGATTATTGTTATGCATCTCATCTCTGTAATCACAGGACTGAAGGCCTTTTTTGTAACCCATTACTTCTGGCCATCAACAAGTTTGCATTGCAGGTGAGAAGAGACATTCTCTAAAAGCATTAATAGGCTATAAGGTCTCTTCTCCTGTATCTTTTACCATCTCCTCTTCCCATCTTATTCAGTAGGATCACCATAGGCGGCGATTCCTGGGGGCTAAGGGGCTCGAGCCCCCCAAAAATTTGGCAGAAGAAAAAGGAATACCAGGAGTACTGTCCCTGAGCCCCCCAGATTTCTCAACAAAACACTGCCTATGAGGATCACTATACGAGGTGTGGCTGTAAAGTTCCCAGAATGGCTCTGTTATCCTTTCCAAGAGTGGGGGATTGATGGTGGGAGGTTGTCGCACGATAGGTGGGGACCTTGACTCTTATTGTGTGCAGTCCTGTTTAATTTCAAATCATGCTGGTGTTAGTCGCGTAAAATATGAGTGCGTTTTTTTTTCCAGCGGTGAAAAAATGAGTGAACAACGTGCTACAGTAGCATCAAATTTTTGCGTGAAATTGGGGGAATCACCGATTTAGACACTTTCAATGCTGTGACAAGCCTATAGAGAAGCTGTGCGCTATCACAGAACACAGTTTTTGAGAGGCACAAGAGGTTAAGGGAAGGCCAGGAGGAAGTGAACGACGACGCCTGATGTCTGGTCGCCCAACAACCCACAGAACCGCAGAAAATATTGAAAAAGTGACAAATTTGGTTTGCTCTGATAGGCGACTGACCATTCGGTTGATGACTGACAATCTGAACCTGGATAAGGAAACAGTCAGACAAATTTTGGTGGATGATTTGGGAATGAAACATCGTTTCAGCGAAAATGGTGCCACACATCCTCACTGATGATCGAAAACAAAGACATCATGATCTTTTGCAAAGGTAAACTGACTTCCTAAAAAATGTCGTAACAGGTGATGAAATCTGGTGCTATCAATACGACCCAGAGACAAAGAGACAAAGTCTTAAATGGAAAACTCAAAGTTCACCGAGGCCACAAAAAGCAAGAATGAGCAAGTCAAAAGCGAAGACCATGCTCGTGTGTTTTTTTGACATCAAGGGGCTAGTGCATGCTGAATTCATTCCGGCAGGCCGAACAGTAACCCAGCATTATTACATAGAAATTTTGAAGTAATTGAAGGAATCTGCATCACAAAAGAACAGATCTTTGGAAAAGCAATTCATGGATTCGCCACCACGACAATGCGCCAGCTCACTCAACATTTTCAGTCAGGCAATTTTTGGCCAAAAAATCTATTACGCAACCTGAACACCCTCCGCATTCTCTAGATCTTGCTCCTAATGACTTTTGGCTATTTCCTAAACTAAAAAATGTCATCTAAGAAAAAGATTAAGCGATATAGAGGACATTCAAAAGGAAGTGATGCGTGCACTGAAGGCAAAACCAGAAAATGAGTTCCAACATTGTTTCAAGCAGTGGGAAAAGTTTGTGGATGCCCGAGGCCCTTATTTTGAGGGCAATAATGTTAACTAATTAATATTCTTTAATAAAACATGTTTAAACATTATCCCGGGAACTTTATAGCCACACCTCGTATGTTTATTATTGAACAACTGATGGACATGCATTCTTACTTACATACACATACACAAATTGTTACTCACTGCAATCCAAATATCTAAAAAACTTGTGATCCTGCCATCCATGACTGCATACTATTTTCCCCCATCCAAGGTGTAACATTAGAGGGAAAGATGGAAGCAATATGTGAAAGTCGATGGCATATTTCCAAGGAAATTATCCTCTAGATCATGGAAGCAAAAAGTATATTGTGGAAGCCTGCCATAGAAGGGATGCTGTCAACACAGGCATTGATGCAAGAATTGTCATCAGACTTTTACAGTGATGACATCCTTTTCAGTCATTGACTGGAAATGTCACACAAATCTAACTAAAAAAAAAATATTATATACATCATGGGGCTATTGCTAGAATAGGGCTAACTAGAAATGTGTGTAAGCATCTCAAATGCTTATGGTAATGTGGAACAGGATGACAACCATACCAGATAAAATGATACATGTATTTGACTTGTTAGTGTGTAGCTTAACTTTGTTGATTGATGTGGGTTTTATTTGATGATTCCTTTATTTAGGGGGACTCAGCACAAGACTACCTTCTCAGTTGGGCGTGGGAAAGCTTTTCATGCCTATGCCTGTGGCTGGAAAAACACCTGTGCTTCTACTGAACCTGAAGCTGAAGTCTTTGTCACAAGTGGTTGATGTTCTCTCTCCAGGAATTCTCATTACTGCTTGTGATGACTTGGAAACATTCAGTATTGAAAAGCATGGTAATATCCCCTATGCAATATTTTTCTCCCTGTTTATTGCCAACCATAAAAAAGTATCCATCATAAACCTATATACACAGATACTTATATAGATGCTCATTATTTTGATGCAAGACATATGCAGGGTGTGCCAAAAAAAAGCTAACATTTTTTTATAAGTTGTCAATCTGATTGTTGGTTGCTGATTCTGATTAAATTTGGTGGACATATAGGGTGACTCAATTAGGATTTGTGCATCAAGTTTCAAATAAAAAATTATCAAAACTGTGAGGCTGGCATTTATTTTACTTTTCATCACCAAAAAAATAAGTGTTCATTTTTTCTTTCAGCTTAAAATTTTTCAGAACTGACAGAAACAAAAGCACACAATTTGGTTTAGGGATGTTCATTTCAAATGAAATGGTGCTCAATGTGCCCTCTATTCTGGGACATCACAGATCAATGGCTCAGTCAATGAACCTTCAAGGTAGTGCCTCCCAATTTTCCTTTGTATCATGCAGGGATGGAAGGTTGTGAATTCGGTCCTCCCTTTCATCTCGGCTTCAAGTTCATATCAATATTTTCGACAGCACATTTTGTCATTGGTCATCAGAAAATAAGTACAGCTCCTATAATTTTAGAGCCAGAAGAATTTGGTGTACAAACTCCAATATTGTCACCACATATACCTACCTACCTACCGCCTACCAATTTTAATCAGAATCAGCAGCCTACAAAGAGATTGCTGACTCACCAAAAATGACAGCATTGTTTTTTTTGGCCTACCCTTTATATGTTGGTGAAATGAATAGTCAAAGCCAAGCTTGAAGAGCATTAGAGATCTTTTATTTTTTTTTTAGACAATTGTATGGTTTTGTAGACTAAATTTGGAAATTTCAGCTTCTGCTGTCTCATATCATTCTTAGAAAAAACCTAAATTAGTCTTTGTTGATCCCATGGGTCTGAAGCAGAACAGGAGGTGAAAGTCCCCAGATCCATTCCTAAAATGCTTAGTTCTCCAGGGAGAAAGAAAAATTGATCTTGGAGAAGAGTAACAATGAAGTCAGTTACAACTAAGAGGATATGAAGTATCAAGTAGTACTTCATCAGTAATGCTTTGCTGCAGGTACTCAATGTCTCATGTTTCCACTCAATCCCTGAACTTGCAAATGTTCTGTCCTGCCTTCTCTTTGGAAGTACTCATCCTCATATTTTCCATTAACTGACAGCAGAAGCATAAAGCTCAGAATCAAAGAGAAATGGGTATTAACTGTGGTCTCCAGTCATAGCTCTGTATTTTCTATCTCCTCTCCCCAAACCCAATATCTCTGCCCCCATCCAGCACATGATTTCATCCACTTATTGCCAATCCATGAAGTGAAAAAAAAATTGGGTAAGAGTCCTGCATGTTTCTATTGGTGACTCAGAAACAGCAGCTTCTGGGTGATTGTTGATTGCCTGGGACTAATGACTCTATGAAATTAAAGTATACATCAAGAATCTGAATTCTATAACAGTGGGTTGTGCATGAATGCCCTTTTACTGCTATAAACCTATCTAACATATTCTATAGATAGATACAAAATTCACAAGTTAAGCTCCCTCTCCCAAGAATTCAAAATCAAAATGTAATGTCCCTGACTATTGCCTTTTTGCCTCCATTTCAGGGATATATCTAGTTCTTTCCCTTATCCCTACATTGCACCATCAGTGCCAAAGGTAGTGACTTCAAAAGAATGCCAGGCACTTCTATTGATATGTCAAAGCAATGAGCACAGCTGAAACATGTGCAAGCAGAACCACGTGTACTAGCAGATGCTTCCAGATACCAAGCACTTAGATATCTCTGATTCTAGGTGCATCCGAAGGGTTCTGCATCTACTAGTATGTGCTTCTTCATGCTACTGGTTGTGCTTGCATGATAACTGAGGTTTTTTAAAATCCACTGCTTAATAAAAATACCTTCCACAAAATTCTCTTTGACCATGATACCTTAACAATATTCCCCTGTAATTACTGACTCCCATTGAAGTTTTCCAAATTTTTCAGATCTCCAGTTGCTTCCAGAATATCCTTCTGGCTTTGTGGCATTGGGGCATCTTTCTCCTCCCAGTATTGGTAAGTGGGACTCTGTCCTTGTTAGCTCTTAAAATTAGGTCTAACTTGCAAAGATATGTCACCATGGAAATTGACTCTATCTTGATTTTTTCATCACAGGTGAAGGACACGGTGTGTATGTTTTAAACAAGGGGAATGCTGACCCATGGTCATCTCCCTTATCAGCTTATTCATGCTTAGAAGTTCTACAAAAGCCCTCATATGATTGCATGAGAAGTCAAGGGGCTATCCTCAAGAAAGGTATAATGGCTAGTGTTGATGTTTGTGATTTACATACAAGGGGTGTCTAAAACTTTCTGCAAACATCTGATAAAAACTAAACCATTGTTTTTATCACTACCAAAATCAATTCACGGAAATATCACACTTCCCTTAGCCCCTTCACCACTGATGGAAGTGTATTCCCCCAAAGCAAGTCTGTCTACTGGCCAACCTGATGATAGTCAGAAGGGGCTATGTGTGGGGTATATGATGGGTGGCTGGCAACAGTCCACTGAAAATTGACAATAACTTGCATTGTTTTCAAGGCCAGCTATGGCTTCTACAAAAGGGGCATACAATCATTGCCCTCCAGATAGCAGAAGTGCATAGATTTGAACAGTGATTATTTTGAGGGCTTAGGGAGGTGTGATGTGTCTGTGTTCCAGTTTTGGTAGCAGCAAAAACAATGGTTTAGTTTTTATAATGTCTGCAGAAATTTTTTGGATATCCCTCATACATATATACATATACATGGAGCTCTTGTCAGCATGCCTGCTTATATGTACAAGGTGGCAGAAAAAAGAAACTGATTTCATATTGATGTTGTTGAGTGTAAACGAATGGGAGGTCAAATTCATTATCATGGACACAAAAGCCCTTAATTCTTTGTTCATTCTCCAAAATAGTTACTTCCATGGTTTTCCACAACACTCTCAAAATGTTGCCAAATGGCAACAGTGTCTTGATACTTATTGATTCAACTGTCCATTGATTGGAATAAACTTATCAAAAATCAAAACTATCTGCAAAAAAAGGTCGACCCAAAAAATGAATTTCAATGGAAGAGAAGTTGGATGTGGCCTGGTTTGTATGCAAGCAGGCACTTGGGCCAAACACCAAAGGCTCTTGTCCATTACCTTTATCCAACTTATATTTAATCTTTGCCCATAGGCTTGCTTTAAAGCAATGAATTTGGAATTAATTTTGAAGATAGGTTATAAAAATATCTATGCACAGCAAAGTTTCATGATGCTCCAGTGGGAGCAGATATTCATTGGTTAAAAGACATTGGTCTTTTTTTTGCCATACTCTGTACATTTCAGCATGATGCACTCTCAGATCTGCAGTAACAATGCATTTCATCAATTTGAGAGCACCAGACTTCATAAAGCTACCTTGTGCTAGCCAAATAGTCTGAACTTCAATCCCAGTTGATAAGATTTTTTGAGGGGGAACTACTAAGAGTAGTCTATCCAAATTGCTGGATCAAGGATCTGAAACATCTCATGGCCACCATATGTCATGAATGGGAAAATATAAATTCCTTTTTGGTGAGTACAATTTGGCAGTGATGTTCCACACTTGCAAGGCATGGGTAGCCAACCAAGAGAGACTCATAAGCAACTTTTTTGAGACTATGAAATGTGAACTTTCACTTCTATGATGATTAACAATTGACTTCACAGTGTCTATGCTCAGTACAGTCAATATGAAATCAGAATATCTCATTTATTGGTCCACTCATAAGTGTTTTTATGGTTTTCACTACAATCAGAACTATATCTATTGCCCCATAGTAAAATTAATATTAAAAATGTAAAGCATTGTATAGCACAGTAAAGCAAAGGGGTGGAGACAGTGATTCCTTTTACCTCCCTTCTTCCTTATGACCTTGAATTAGATTATATATATCAATTCCCTTTTGCCTTGAAGAGGTGTTGTTTTAGGAATTATGCATATTTACATTTTCTGGAACTTGCATGACTGCAACCACATGGGAAGAAGATCAGGGATCGCATGGAAAGGGAATCTCAAATGACTTGGGTTTTTCTATACAATTGAACTTCCATGAAAGCTCTAAATTCCGTTTGGGCTGGAGTGCCATCAGAAAGGTGTAGGACAGATCTCCCTTCTTGTTTCTGCTCAACTTGGTATCCAGTAATGAAGCTCAATCTGTACAAGATGCATTAAAAAAACAAAAGCCATTTACTTCCCAAACAGGGGATTTCAGGACAACTGGAAAGTGTAATACTTTTTGACATACTCCCCATCCTCCCCTATGTATCTTTCCTACTGTTTCATCCAGCTCATGAGGATTTCAGGAATGTTATCTTTAGATGCATGCTTTGACTACTGTAAAATTGCAATCCCAATTGATGGCAATCCTGGACTCATGTATATTCCTGTGCAAAAAGTCCTTCTGAGTTTCTAACTGCCAAAAGTTGCTTTAAGAAAGGTCAGGAGAATTTGGTGGATGAGGCAGCAGTTGACAATGGGAGCATGATGATGTGGATCATTGTCAAGGTGAAATAGGAGGTCTCTGAGAAGTTTTTGCACCATTATGTATGTCATGACTCACAAGTGATAGACTAGGGATGGGAAGTTGACTGGTCAACGTGGTCATTTTAGATCATTTTCAGAGAATAATGGTTATGAGCCCAAGGGGTTAGGCCTTATGACTATATGATCATAAATGACCATGTTGACCAGTCAACATCTCATTGATAAGATACATTTAATGTTCCAACTCATGCAATCTATAGGGTAAACAGTAATGAATCATGTTTCATAGCTAGATTAATTTTTTTAGGCATAGGCATAACCCAAGTACTTGTCCCTTGATCACAGACTTTGAGAACAATTTTATGCTCTGATGCAGACTATTAGCCAGGACCATGATTGACCTTGCACAAAACTAAAGTTCTAAAGCTGTTACTAAGATCTTGAACCTTAACTTTGAAAGTCCTTGAGGCTATAAAACTTTGAACAGCAGGCTATGCCTGCACACACTCTGCAACACTCAGGTGAAAGGTCATGGTAGTTTGAGTATTTGCTGAAATGTTTTCATGTGCAACAGGTGCCACAGTCTAGGTGTTTGGCAGGCTGCATGAACAAATCTTAAAAATTGAACTGGCTCTTTGGTTTTAATGCTGGGGGATAAATGACCACAGTTATGAGCTCTATAAAAATATATTAATTCACTGAATTAAAAAAATTAGTGGTCAGTATTGGTCAATTGACTGCCCATCCCTAGTTGCAAAAGTATTACCTCCTGTTACACCATAACAATACTCCTCCCCTGTCATGCTGCTGCTGTCATTGAGTTTTTTCAAGAAGGAATCAAACTGGAGGCATCCACTGTATGCTCCTGACCTTGCTTGAAGATGTTTGTAATTCTGAAGGGCTCTTTTGGGAAAAGGTTTACCAAGTTAAGGAATGTGACTTTTCCCAGTGGTCAAACATGCTCCTTAAGTTAATTTTTCTAAAGCCTTCAAGAACTTGGTAACACAGTAGAAACAATGCATGGAGGTCAAGTTCATGGGTCATCCCAAAGTTCAAGAACATTTTGTTCTACATCAAGTTGAAAAACCAAATGTAGCATTATTCCAAGTGAACTTTCTCAATATACTTCCTGCACAGCTGCACACGCTTCTCTTATCATTCTATCAGTTTCTTGAGTCTTTCAGTAAACCAGTTTTCTGGGGTCACTTGAACCCACTGGTTCACAGCAGGAGCATGCTCCAAGCATGCGCCAAGGTCAGGTCACCCTTGGCAAATCATCCACTGGAATCCATTCGCTTCAAAGCGATGCATCCACTTATTTATGGCACTTTTCCCGAAAGGTCTGTCCCTGTAAACTTCTTGCAGCTCACGACCTTAGACTTTTTCTGTTTCCACAGAAACCAAATCCCACCTCACTGGACCCGATCATCTTCTTACATAGTGGTAACATGTAGGTCTACTTAAAAATGCAATATCTTTGCAATGGGAAGGAGCAGTTACATGATCATTCTTACTTTAGTGCCATGAGACATCAATATGAACACTTTGATAAGACTGTTGCTGCTGGATCACATGCAAAGAAAATATTCACATTTGTTCTTGAACTTTTGGGATGACCCATGTATAATATCAAAAAGTCACTTTGCAACATCCTTTGCTTGGTTTCCTGCTCAAGAATGGTAGATAAAGGGCTTTCACTTTTTGAATACTCCTGTTCATAAGTGAACAGTAAAAATGAATGGGTGATGGGTGAACCACCACACCTTCAGTGAGGCTGCTCAGTCGCTTCTCTTTTATTACCTTCCATTTACACTTCAGGCAAATTTTTACTAATGCAGGAGCAATAATTTGAACACATTGGCAGACAAGATGGTCATAGTCATCATCCTTGTAGGCCTTCTGTGGGACAAGATGGCAATAGTTGTCCATGTATCTGATAGTACTACATCAGTGGAAACACATACAAGATATAACTGATTTGACTTGGAATGTTATCACACAGTTGAGCTCATTTGAAATACAGCAGTGTGTTTTTGAAATCCCGAACTAAAATTCAGGTGTCTGCCAGCATGTTAATAAAGTTTAGCAAGAGGAGTATGGGCTCCTCAACAATCACAGTGATCCAATCTGGTAATCCACCCAACCCTCTGTTATTTACCAATATCACCTACACTATTTTGCAGATATCATCTTATACACTGGTACCTGCTGTCAAATTTCCACATATCCCAAAGGAGCATGTGAACACCTCAGGAAAATACCTCTTTGGGATTCATATCCAAATGGATGGATATCCCAATGGATGGATATCCCAATGGATTGTACTTTCAATTTAAAGAAAAAATCCAAACTCTTCATGCCTTTCCAAAAGAGAAATCTTGCTTTTCTTCACTTCATTTTTGAACACGCACATCCATTCATAGAATTTTCAAAGCTTCTCAGAGACAATCAAGAGCTGGCTCTCTTGGGAAGTTCGTATTCATATGTAGCAGAGTGTGCAATCTTGGTACACTATCTATAATAAGGCCTTCTCTTCTTGCATGACACAAACACCCATATACAAAACCATTTTCTATCTGCCAGTGGAATACACTTCTTTGCTCTTGGAAGGCATCCAATTTTTTCATTTCCCCTTTTCAATTGAATCCATACACACTTTCTTAGGATATTTAACTTTCATTATTTCCAACTCTATTATGGCTGCACTGTATTCTAATTTTAATCTAATATCACCTTTTCTTCTCTTCTAGCAATGAGATTTGTGACCTCCTTATCATGGGATTTACTCATGTTTGGCATGGGCACCAGTCTCGAAAAACCTGGCCTTAGATTTTTTGTAACTCAAAAGAGGAATATATGGGGTGTATCAGAAACAGTAGAACCATAGAATATTAAATGAAAATAATGTCAAGATCATGTCAAGGAACCCCTGTGATTAACAAACCCTTTTGCTTTGGATGATAGTATTTGTAACTGCTTTTGAGGTCAACAGATCAATGACCAGAATTTAATTGGAGATTTTTCTTGAGTTGGAGCAAGGTCTGGGGCCTAGCATGTTCCCTGGACTTAAAGTAACCTCATGAATAAAGTTTGGGGCAGTGTAATCAGGTGGTTTCAAGAATAAAAGGATTGTCATTTTATGAAATGACACAGCAATAAATTGTTTCCTAAATACAGTCATGGTTGCCCTTGCAATGCAGCATGTAGCCTCATTCAATCAGAATTGTATCCTGTCGACATCTAAACCTGTAGTTGTCAAACTTCTCATTGCATGTGAAGTACCAATATCCATTATATCCATCATTCACATTGGGGCAATTAAACCAAGTTCTCTTGAAAAAAATGTGAATACCTTGAGAACACTGTCTTCAGGACTGAAGTACCAGTGGCATACTTCCATGAGATGGTCTTCATATTCCCACAGATTCAAATTCACTTATTGCTTGGTTAAATAGATATGTTCAATATATTCTCATTGTTTCTGACATTAATACGTGGTCCATCCATCATTGAACTGGATCACAATGAAAGTCTCTTCCTAATTTAGTTGTCTTCTTGTAAATTTATCAAAGCATCAAAAGAAACACCTTTATTTTTTCTACACACCCATGCAATTAGCAACACCTTCTTCCAGGAATAACAAAAGGGTCTGACCAAAGTAAAAGTGCTGCCACATCTGTTTCTCTACCCATACATCTATAACATACATCCATAACATTCCAGCTCTGCAGTATCACCCTGTGATGTAGATAAAAATGTTGTTGTGGAAGTTGTGGTGGCTTAGGCTCATTGCATTTTCCACTTAAGTCTTAATGCTAAATGTCATCTCACTTGGATTTGTGGTCATGAAGTCATTTCAAGTGCATTATCACTAGGGCATTCTCAAATCCCCAATGAAGTTTCCACTATTGAGAAGTACCTCAAAAAAGCTTGTGGAGAAGAAATTACAATTTTTTCAAGCAAAATTCTGAAAAGAACTTAATGATTGTGCAGTCTTTTATGCCCTATTAGGAGCATGTTAAGATCATGCCTTGTGATGATGACCCTACTTTCTTGCTAATATCCATTTTTGGAAAGAGAACTTGCATCATTGTGATCTAACAATCTTTTTCTCTCTCCTTTTGTCTCTGTCAGGAGAACAGGAGTATGTGTGCACAGACAGTGTATACTGGTTTGACCATACAGTTACTAGAGCACTCCTCCCCTTGTGTCCAGCGATGAAGACTCTCACAACAGAACTCCAGATTTATGGAGACTTCTTGGAATGTCTTGGCACCAGAGAAGACAAGCTATATCTCAAGAGCCTCTTTGATCCTGTGAGGGATGCTGAATTAGGTATCTCTCTTAAACGAGCACTTGCGAATACCATTCAGCACTTCCCTCTCACAATATTGTTAATCAGGGATTCCAAGTTTCACCACTTTGGCACAATAACAGAATATGTGATGGCACTCTGCAATGAAGATGAATTAAGAAATAATTTCAACTTCAAGCAACAGGTCAATGTATCCTGGATTGAAGATGCACAGCAGGTTAATGCACCATGGACAGAGGATTGTTCCAGCCTTGATGGAACCATAATGCATTCCTGTATCTCTCGTCAATCCTGTACTCATGTACAAAGTGTGGTTGAGTTCTGTCAAATTCCATTTCCTATCAAGCTGTCAGCTTTCTCTGTGCTAAGTCAGGTAGAAGTTCCCATCTCAGGTGCAGAAATTCCTGAAGGAGTTCTTCTGCACACATTTGCAGTGTCTGCTGGCTTTGTGACTGTGGCCTGCCATAGGAAGGACAACATGAAGCTAGAGGTGCCATATGAAGAGCGGCATTCATTGACATTCCTCAATAAGTCTATTGCATATGCAGAACAGATTCTCAGTTTGAAGGCAAAATTGTTCTCTGTTGACAATGCTTGCAGCCTATGGAAAGCATGCTTGTTTTGGGTGCACCCTAGTTCAAGAAAGGAATCCTTCCTGGTCACATATAGTATGATCAAAAGAATCATCTGTGGTGCTGAAGCATACCCAGAATTTAGCTTGCCTACAGCTAATAATTTCACCAGCTTCAGCAACATTGTTTCAGATATCAATATCTCTGAAATGATCAATTTCCGAGAAAAATTCATCCAATAAATGTTTGCCAGTGCTATCAAGATTTTCACATTATAAGTTTTACTCCTGGCAGTGAGTATTCAGATGATAAGTTATAGTCAATCTTTAAAACTGATTAGGGTACTCAAGTGCAGCTACACTTCTGCCAATGTAATTTATAGAAATCAGGGTCTTGTGGTGGAGGAATGGAAGAAAGTAGGGAAAATTTATTATGAATATTTTTTAAATTAAACCCATATGAAAACTCTGAGGCTGGCTAAAGCCTAGCTCAGAAGTGAGCCTCCTTCAAGTGCACTAAACACAGGCCTGTAGATGAAATAATGGATACAGAGTAGTAGGGGAGAAAGAAAGAATATGAATAAGAGGATACCTGCTGATGGTGGACTTGGGGCCAAGGAGGGATGACCATCCACTCTTGTGTGTTCCTCTACACAAGTTTGTAATTTAAAAATTTATTTAATAAATTCATACTATAATAAATTCCTCAGATTATTTCTCTAGAACCAAACAAATGCCACACATTACTGAAGTATCCATCTCTCCTAAACTTTTGCTGGTGCACACCAGCAAAAGTTTAGGAGAGATGGATGTCAAAACATGCCCGCACCAGGGAAAGTGTTACAATAGTGACTCATTAAACAAATGAGGATTGTTTCCCTAGAATCTGAAGCATAGACATGACCTGGTTTAACCTAAGTTACTTGAGGTGCAACAGGAATCTGGAGCATTCTTTGAGTCTTAGAAAAGCATGCAGATGTGCAACCCAAACCAAAACATGTTTGTAAATTCACATACTCTGAAGTTCATTTTTTTCAAGATATTTTCTTCATCTGAAAGCCAACAGTAAATCATACTTTCCATATCACTACCATATTCAAACAGCATGGAATCTTCCTTTTATAGGTGCAGAAAGGAATATTCCATGCTCTTGGAATATGGCAAAATTCGCATTTTTCCACTTGCATATTCTGCTTGAATACAGAAATGCTCAGTGTGTAAAGGTTAAGCACAATATACTTGGGTCAGTTGTCAAATTAAATCCTTCAACTTCATAACCTACCTCAAACAGAAAAATTCTTTGAGCATGGTAAAGCTGCATCACACTGCAATTTTCTTATAATATACAGCACTTTAATGGCATCCATAGGGAAATTTCATTGTGAAAAAATCTGGTGCTCTATGTGAAATTTTAGTTTTAACACATTGGCGACAATGCGTCCTGATGCCAGGATGCAGACTTTTTTTCAATGAATACCCTCTGGAACTGTTGAGAACATTCCAGAAGATTATGATTTCGTAATTACTGATAAAAATTCCAAAAAATTCAACATTTTAAAAAACTCGGCAAAAAAAATGTTTCTGGGACCATGCGTCCTGATGGCAGGACACATTTTTTGACAAAAAAAATGCGCGTGGTCCCACGCGGCGGACAAGCAAAAATAGGCTGGTCGTCAATGTGTTAACCATGAATTCAGCTGGAGTCAGAGTGCCAGAGCTACCCAAACCTAAGTTCTAGAACTTCAAAATGATGCTTGAGGATAATTTGACTTAAATTAAAATTCCTAATTAAAAGGTTACCATTTTTTTAATCAGCAGTAGTGGAGCTTGATCATGATTCCAATCATCAGTGCTGAAGCTTAACCATATGCCTTATGTTTGTTTGGACTGCCTCTTCTCTTACTTGCCTTTCTATCATATGGGTAAAAGGGGCCCCAACCCTCTCTTAACCCAACTCTCCCCTTCTCTTAATGGGATTACTCCTGATTTGAGTCTAATTTGGCATAACAATAACAAAAAATTTTTTGAAATGCATGAGATACATTTAAAAACCTTAACTCAAAAGAGATGGAAATTCTTCTGACGACAGACTGATCGTGATCCTCAAGACTGTTATGCACTCATTTGAGAAAAGAAGACCCTCACATCTTCATGTGGTAGGATTGGAAGTCATATTCACAACTGTAGTGCTTACTTTTTTTTTCATAAGTTTTATGTTGGTACATACATAATACAGGCAAAAATTATTGAGAGACTATTCCTTCTTTGCATGAACAAGAAATGGTCTTGGAATTGGAGATGAGTTAATTAATTTTAGCCTTGACTTCCACATATATGAGTCAAAGTAGTATGATTAAGTCTTTCCCAAAAATAAGACAAGCATGTGCAAGAAGCAAAGAAGTCTTATCCAAAACATAAGGGTTTTGGTCCAAAAATGTAACTTAAAATAATTTAATTCAAAGGGGTATCCCGTTCTGAACTCAAAAATGCAATTCTTCAAATATGAGCAGTTTGAAAGTTATGTAAGGTTAGATGCCTAAGTATGATCATGCAGTTGATACATGAAGTTATTTGCTCAATAATATACTATTAACCCTGTCCAATACAATTTTATCACAGAGAGTATACTCCTCAACTCCAATTTATTTTCAGCACAAATAAGGAAAACAGGAAGATTTTGTTTTCTACTATTGCTATCATTGCATTCTAGTGCCATCTGTGGGCAAACTCTTCGAACTACTTCAAGAAACACTAGCCAACATCTAGAGCTTGCTGTAAGAGCTCCAACATCAGAGCTAGCAGGAATACTTCCATGTGACAATTATGCTGGAGGAGATCTGACAGTGCAGAACAGGTCTGACAGAAGACAAAGAGTTAACAAGAACATGAGGTTAGGTCAAATTCAAATTTAAGTATTTAAAAATGCTGTTTTTAGCAAACTTCTCATCACTCTGTTTTGCCATATCCACAGGCAAGGCTTGCATAAGGAATTTCCCTGCAGATTGTCTAATTTGCACCTATTCTTTCTTTCTTTCTTGTTTGTAGGTAATGAAGAAAGTAACTTTAACACATTTTCAGGTTTAACAAGTTTTTGGATCTAACCTAAAATAACCTAAATTTTTCAGGATGTTAATACTTGCAGAAAATTTTTGCATTTTTTTTTTAAGTTTAGCATTAGCTGGACATTCTTTAGAATGATACTGTATATATTTTATTTAATCAAGTTATCAGCAATAGTCATATAGTTACTACATTATCAAATCCTTGGGAAAGGTTGAGATACCCTGCCAATACTGAATGAATTCTGCTATATGTTATTAATTTTGTCACCCATAGTAGTCATGTGGCTGCAGAGGTAAGTCTCTCAGCAAGAATGCTGAGAAAAAAAAAACCTTCAAGGATTGAAGCTCATCATGTTTTATAACACCATAAGTGACCACAGTACAATGGTTCGATCATTTCACCAGGAAACAAATGGATTTGTAAAGAAAATCCTAATGGAATACTTCAAAGGAACTAAGAGGACTCATCAAACAATGAACACAGTGACTATCACAATATGATGGTAACAAAAGATCATATATACAACAAATCAAGTTTTAAAAAAAAGGAGCAAAAAATTCACATGACTAGATGAAACAGAAAATTTCATGTAATAGCATATGAATACTGAAATTTTTAAATACATGAATAATGAGATGTATCCACCAGGCACCAGTTACATGTATGACTTGATATTACATGAAAGGATCCCATGGGAGTAAGACTAACATCACTGACCAGCATGGTCAGTGATGTTAGTGTTTCAGTGGCCAGCATGAAATAAACTGAAATTAACTAATAAAATTTGATTTGGAGCAATCGCAAAATACAAGTCATTATTGGCAAAGCAAATGATGTAAAAGTCACCAGAAGGCAACATTTGTAACACTTCTGAACAAAACCTCATAACTCATTTTAAGGATATATGAAAATGTAAGCTTGATAATATATTGCAAAGGCCCATGACTCCAATCTATCAATAAAGGATGGTATAAGGAAAAACTTAAGTTGCATACTTAAAAGTGTGGCATTGAATTATTGCACCATGTGTACTCCAAGATTGACATTTTTCCTATATTGCACATAACATGAATTATAAACCCAATGCTTCAGCCCCTTGGCCTCATTGCAGCTATATGTGACAAAATCTGAGGGACTTATAATGCTGTTGTTTAGCAGTTCCAGATTTTGGGGAGCTTCATATCTATTTATCTCTGCCACTTTGCACTCAAATATTCTATAAAGAGGACTGTCACATTACAGGATGTTGATAGCAAATTTAGGCAACAGACAAGTATCCCTGGATGGTATCAGTAGTCTTATAATAGAGACAATGAATTTATCCTGAATAAAGGCAAGATCACCAAGAATACCATACTCTACTCTTGGGATAATTTCTAGGAAGGAAAGGACTCACAAAATCCCTGAGTTCCTACCTGATTCAAAATACATCTGAAGGAATGTTTGGATTCCTTCAGATTGGTTGGATAGTAAATACTGGACTGGTTGGATAGTAAATACTTTCTGGTTTCCACTCTAGTGGCTCCAAAACTTTCAGGCAGTGGTAGCATTCAGGTGCTCCCTTTCCCTTCATTTACATTAGATTCATGAGCTTTTTCAATGGAAAAGTGAGCAATGTCACTGCCTAACTTATTGGAACCACTTTACAAATGCAAGCAAATAGGACATGCTTACATTTTTATTTCTTCCTTCTTCTCAATGCTTGGTGGTCCTGACAGGGAACATGCTTCCCCTATGACAAAGAGAAAAAACACAGGTGTTTTGATTGTCCCCTCCTATGCTACACTGTACAAGGTGCAATGAAGCAGTGATGAGCCTACCCATGTCAGTATTGGTTTTCCTCGAAAAGAATCGAATCACGAAGCCCATAAGGAATTGGAAGGCACAGACCCCAAGGGAGAAGATACCAAAATAATAATATGTTTTGCTTCCTCCATGATGTTTATACACCACTCCTCCAATAAGACTCCCAGCAGCCATTCCTGTAAGGGAGTAAATAGAATGCCACAACCAATCACCACTTGAATCTGAAATTATTAGCCAATGGCATGACAAGCATTACCAATATAAAAAGTTTACCTATTCCTTCAAATGTGCCACCAAAGATACCTTGCATTGTGGCAGCTACTTGTGAGGAGCAAATCACATAAGCATAAGAAGTCATAGCAGAATAGAAAATCCCAAATGTGAATCCTTGAGACACCTCCACTGGTAATACCCACCAAGGATCCACAAGATAAGAGTATATTATGAATCTCAGGCCAAATACCAGAAGGACAATGGAAAGAGCATGGCTGTGACCAGTTCTCTTGAGAATCTTCCCTGAAAAAAAAAGGAAAAGGTGTCCACATCTCCTAAGGGAAATACTCAGTGAGAAATAGTTCCCTAAAAACTCCCAACCAGATAAGAAGAAAAAAGGCAGCTCGCCAAGGAAGCACTGCACAGCCATGATGAGACCCATCAATAGCTTCATATTCTTGTCATCATTTTGTTCTCCCAAATCATTCACATATCTGGTGGGAAATGAAGACAGGAATTCCATGCATTATCGCTAAAGAAAATTCTTCTTGTAGCCAGGCATCATTATAAGCCTGGAATAAGGGACATACATGAAGAGAAAGTTCCATAGCAAACCAGTGCAAGCACCAATGGTAAAAACAGCTAGAAGAAACAGCAGAACCTCTGGCTTGATAAGGACAGTCAACACCTCTCTTGTCATAGTTTTCCCTTCCTTCTGGTGTTGGTGCTAAAATGATTAAAATGGGATACACTTAGAAAAATTCCATCACTCACTGATTTGAACAGGATGACTCATAAAGGTGGGATACCTTTATGAGCTATCCTGCAATTTTTTTCATTGTAGTCAGAACTGAAAACTTTGAATATATGTTATTGCATATGTATTGTATATGCAACCTCTTGTAGACTTGCAAGTTGCAACATGCTGTCATAAACTATGTTCATTAGATCATGACATTCTTTGACTAGATGAAAACTAGCATGTGGCATGCCTGCTCAATGGTGGCAAGCCAACACACTAGTTCTAATTAGGAGAAAATAATTTCATTATAAAATGCATTAAGGCAAAAAAAAAGAGGGGGGAAATTGCTAGTAGAGCAAGGAATGAAGAGTTTTTGTAAATAATGAAAGTAAATTCATGTTTGAAGACATATATAGGGTGATTAAAAGAAAACGCCCTACCATTTTCTATTGGAGAAACACATCTACATATATAAAAAAAAGGGCCATATATAGGTTATGCAATTAACATTGGAGGTCTTGAGATGCATGTCAGTTTTTTTCAGCACCCCTGCCTAAGTCATGCAATGCCCATTTACACAGTTTAGAAATTAATCATTTCACCTTAAGTGATGTAATAATCTGTGCTTGACCATCTCAGAATTTAACCAAATTTGGAAAAAACTAGGATTATTTTGAGAATAGCCAACGGATAAAAAAAAAAGTCTGTACTTCAAGCAGAGGCCAAGAGAAGTGAGTTTTAATTTGATCCTGGGGGCATAAAATGGCTCCCAAACCCCAGATGCTAACTTCCTGACTACATGGTTATTATCAATATAATATCCCAACCCTATTTTGATTGGCTATAACTTTTCAAGGGTCAGTTGGATGCCACTGATACTTGACAGAGGTTTGTGAGTCTAAGAGGTTTTTTTTCACATACTGCAAGATGGAACTGCATGCTGATGGAGGGCACTGTTGTTGACTGGAGGGCCCCCTATCTTTGTACTATGCCACTTTTTAGGCAAGGAAAAAAACTTACAGGCCCATGAGCCTCTCTGCCAAATATCAGTTGCATCTGAGAGCCCTTTTAAAAGATATGGTTTTGAAGCCAATTAAAAAAATATGAATATGGTTAAAATTTGTTTAAGGCCAACACTGGGCAAACTACTTTAATTGAATTTTGAGATGATGGAGGATAGGTCATTACTGCACTTGAAGTGTAATGATCCACTTGTAAACTTTGTAACAGGACAATGCATGGTTCAGAGAAATGTTCTGAAAAAAAAACAGACAATTATCTCAATACCTTTTTTATGTCCAAAATCAAGATTTTATAGATCTTATCATTTTTGTTCAAATATATGAAACTTACTTTCTCCCATAGAAAACTGTATAGCATTTCTTTTCAATCAACCAATACTTCATTTCATTCTGGGAGGGAAAATACAGGGTGTCTGAAAATGAATGGTGGAGAAAAAAAGAGACATACATAGACATAACCTTTTGTGCATAAGGGGTATCAAAATATGGTAAAGTGTTTGAGATTCAGTAACTCACTAAGTTTCTTGTGACATAATTTAAAAGATATTCATATAGTCATGGACCCCACACAAATACTAAGGTAAAAAAAATTAAGCATTTCTACACCATATTGTGTCAAACAATGTAAGAATAGTTTTGAGGTCTATGTATTCATTATTTTACATTGTAATTTCCCTATGTAACCAAAAATCTTAAATTCCCTGTAAACTGTCCTATAAATGTTTTATTTACTTGACCTTTTCTGCCTTCTGTGCAAGGACAGGTTATTTCATAACACTCAAGGTTGCCAACATGTAAAATACCTCATCCACTCTGAGCTTCAATGAGCATATGGAATCCACCAGAAGAAATCCCAAAACCATATAGAAAGCGATGGAGTAGTCTGCTTTATCTTCATTCTCTTTGTTCACATGGTCAATTATTGCACCAATGCTGAGTCCAATGATACCCCATCCGATTGTTCCCCATAACCTCTCATTTCCAAACCTTTCTGGATGTGAGCCTATACAGGAGAGAGAGACAAAAAAATTCCTATACTCTGCTGGGTTCATCAAAAGCAAGTTCCAGTGCAGAAACCTTCTCTTTTCCAAAAATTTTATTTTCAGAACAATTAGAATATATTCAGGGGTTGATTTCTTGCTGCCTAATCAGCCTGTGTCCCCACAGAAAAGCCAAGAAAATGAGAATGTTTTTGCATGGAACTGTGCACTAAAAAATTCTGTGCACTCACCAAGAAGCAGGAAGCAAATTGTGTCAGAAAGGCTAATGGCAATAGCCATGGAACACCAGGCAAATGCAATAAGCACAAAGTAAATCCAGAACTCTCCAGTAGTATATATATAATCATCATAGGAAACTTCATCCAAGCAACTTTTCATGCCAGGATCATCACATGTTACTTTACATGATGTGGAATGGAACCCTTTGCAATCACCTTTCACAGGGAACGTAGAATCATTCCGCAGAAGAGGGAAAAGAATGCAACTTTCCTCGAAACTATAATTTCTTGCATCCAGGAAAATATGAAGTCTGACCTCCTCTTTTTCTGATGAACATATTTCTTCTTGATCATGAATGGCATCACATGTGAATCCAGTACAAGATAAGTTGCACATAACCTTCTCATTGACTACATTGTGCAGGGCTACAGTACAATTATCATGATTGCTGATATACCTTCTGAGGCTCAATAATTCATTCTGACAAGCAATTGACTCTGGCATAGGTGGTATCGCTCTGGAAAACTGAATGACAAACATGAAGACTCCTGTTGCCAAGACAGAAGAAAGAAATATTAGCCTCCTCTTCTCAAACTTGTCAGCAACAAATCCTAGTGCAGTCTTCGTGAGAAGTCCCAGAAAAGGAAGTACTGCATATATGACACCAATCCCGACTTCAGTGATACCCAGGTTCCCCTGTGCAAAAACAGGCAGGAATGGAAGAGTTGCAGCAGTGCCTAAAATAGAAAAAGAAACTATTAACAGACCTACATCTATGAATACACCTAGCAGAAAAGAAATAATTGTAATTAACTTAAATGATTAACCCTTTCAGTCCTGAATTATGTTCTAGGCATGGAAAAAATGTCATATACTTTTTGGACTTCAACAAGACTTATATAACATAAAAGTGCTTTTAAAATGATTTCATCAAGTAGAATTAAATAAATTAAATAAATTAAGTAAATTAAGAAAATCATGTCATTCATGTCATGTTCACCTAGTACTCATATCCTTATTTTATATCATATATTCCCCAGTGTTTCTCAACTACATTCTATTATCTAGCTTGCAATAACTAGAAAAAATTGGCTGTGAAAGAAATGTTTAAGGTGAAATAAATATAAATGAAGACACCAATTTTGAAGTGCCAGAGGAAATACAGCAGCTTTATATTACTGTGGACTGCTGTCAGCTTGACAACGTGTGGTGAACTACTATAAACAGTGACTCAGAATCTCACCATGGCCTCAAGGTCATGCATTCCTATGTAGCCCCATAACATATGCGAAGAAAATGCCCACTGAAATTAGTAGTAATTTGATAGTAATGAAGTTCTGAGGCAATAATAATAATAATAATTGAAAACTAAATTAGATAAAAGATTATCAAGCACCATGAACTAAATTCATTAAAATAGATGTATGTCCTGGATTGTAGACATACAAAAATGTGAAGTCAAAGTGATACATGAGGGGAGTTCAAATGAGAAAAGGAAAAACATGAGTGCAGGGCATGATTTTAAACAATTAAGCTTCCCACAAATGTCACTTTGACAAATGTCAAATGTTTTATTTGAGGTGGTTTTAGGCACATTCATTGAGTAAATTTGGGCACGTTTGGCATTCTGGGAAGTTACATGACAATATGTTAGCTTCATTGGAGAAATGCACCAAAGAACTTCATGTAGTTATTCACATTTTGATCTCAGAAAACATATAAGCAAGTGAAACATGACAGAGACTTAAAGCAGTGCATGCAGACTAATGCATGACCTAAATCAAGGTTAAAATAATTTATAGAATGTTTCAAACAAGGACAGCCAAATGAAAGAGATAATCCAAGACTTATTCACTAATAATGACCTGGTGAATTGACTACCATTGTACTACTCAGTTATGGATCTTGACAAAGGCTAAGCATTCTATTTCAAATCTGATAAATGCCACTCACTTTAGGCTTCTCTAAGACAAACATTGGAAAACTCCATGAAGCTTCTCCTTGGGACATTCCTTCAATACAGCTAACATTCCACATGATTTCCCAGAACTAAGTGCATGTGCTACCCAGGTAACACACGTATAAAGTGACAACATTATAGAAATGCAATACCACAGCATTTGAAATGTTGTACTTATGTCCTGAAAAACAATGAAACAGCATTCCATCTGGCCCAATAAATTTGTCTTATCATTGAGCAAGGATTTATTTTTTTAACAAAGCAATGTCACAAGCATCATCATCCTGCAATTTATTTTATATGAGGCTGTAATTTCCTTCACTGAATCAGAATCCAAGATGTGTTCTAGAACAAAACATCTGGTTCTGTACAGCTCATGTATGTGTCTCACATCACCCTAAAATGCATCACTTTTACAGGAGGGCCAGACACAACCTCGCAGGCCAAAGAAAATGTTCCTCAATCCTTAGAAGGTAGATGAGAGCTTAGGTCAAGGCATTTGCCATGGAGCAATTCTGAAGTTTCAGCGTGTTTCATTGGAACCCCAGGAAAGAAGTACCAAGAATCTACTGACATCAGGTTACTTCTTTAAATGGGTTTATCCAGGAATTCCATAGCCTTCCCCTAGATTTTACATGGAACAAGACCAGGTACATAATGAAAAATACAGGTAGTGACATGAGGATGACAATTGCTAAACCAGTGGTGAGACATCATCTAATACTGGTTGGCAGAACCTATTTAGATGGTGAATCAGTTATTGTGCAAAACAACGTCACAACATGGATGCAACATTCCTGTTTCTTTGGGCAAATCTTGACAATCCATTTCTGGTATTACAAGTGTAGGAGGTACCTATTAAGAATCATCTTGATAGTGGGGTTGGACAGATGTACCAGCATGCATGTCCAGGAGTAAGAGACTATAAGAGACCACACAAGGAGAGTTGCAAGAGGAGTTGGATCAAGAGTCGAGAGTAGGTTGGATTGGGAGTATAGTGGAGAACTCTAGTGAAGATGCAGAATATCCATTGAATGCTTGAGGGAGTTACCATCAAGATTTGAAATTGTGTGTAGCATGTCATCCCACCCCACACTAATATCCATTCAGGTATTATTCTTCCTGTATTCCTTATCCAGTTAACTATCTGATGCAACAGAATTTAACATTGGTTTTTTACCCCACTTCTGGTCTTTGTCAATATTGATCTCTTCAAACCCTGAGCATCAAAAAAGATATTTGCTATATCCTTTAAAACTGGAGCCCAGAGTCAATCAACTAAACCTCGAACATTCAAGTAACCTGTTTGTGATAATCAACAACACTAAATCACATCAGAGCCATCCACCTACACAAGTCCTAGAGAAGCAGCACCATCAATTTTGACCCCAACAGGAAATTGGCACATTTTAGACCAGAGCATTACATTTAGCACTTCCTGTGCACGGATGATTCAAAGGTCTCTAAAATTTTTGACAGCTTCATGACAATTATTCATGGAGAATTTGTTAATTTTCCTTTTTTGCTTTGTGTTTTGTTAGATGCCCGATGTGACAAAGTTGTAGTAGCAATATTGTCACATCAGGAAGACAACATAGCACATCTGCACAACATTACTACATTTATACAATGTCGTCACAATGTGTGTTACCTGGGTATGTCACTATAGCTTTCTCAACTGTAAGAAAATTGAAAAAGGCAATATTTGTAGGAAATGAACTTGCACAGAGACCATTATTACCCAGCAGTAGAACCAAGACCTGAGATCAAAGTCAATACTTATGGACACCTATCCTTTCAGTTGCTTCCTTCTATTCCTCTGGGGCTTTTTTTTTTAAAGATAATTTCCATAGATTTGGTTCATGATCAGACATGCATTTTGCATAAGGTCAAACATGTTCTATTTTTCTTGGTACAACACTAAATCTTCATCCTTCTTGATGCTGAATGTGATGTGCCTGTCCAAGCTTACAATGGAATAGTTTGTATTTGGTATTTCTCACATACCAGGGGCCATATCAAACAGTACAGTGGCTGCAGGGAAGTCAAACCTGACTGAAGTCATGGGCCACCTAGGGCCAAAATTCTTTACATCTCATCTCAGGTTGAGCAAATTTTTGTTTTCTGGGTGTTCTCCCCCATTCATATTGGACAGCCTCATATATAAAAAAGTTTGCTATAACAAAAATCTCTAGCATTCCTGCAAGCAGTCCTCTATCTTAGTGATTTCTGCATTGACTGTTACATAACCAAAGAACATGGGAATTCCTTGAAACCAGAGAAAGTGAACAAACTCCTATCTTCACGGAACAATCTGAAATAAGCAGCATCAGGCACAACTACACCTCTCTACTTATTTCATTGTTAATCTGAAAGTGATAAGAATGAGAACATTGAACATTCAAATAATGTTTATTGCTGGATCAAGCTATGAAGGTGAGTTTGCAACGAGGTATAAAGTCAGGCATAGTAGAGGGCAGTGTAGGCTGATGGAATTTTTTTTCTGGGTCCTGGGGAGGTTTCTGAAAACAGATCCATCCAGGACTCTATTCTCAAAGTCATCCACATTACCTGCTATCATCAAATATCATTATTTTCGGCCTAGACTATTTTTTACCAGTTAAATTGATCGTTTTTAAATCTTTTTTTATTGAGCTAACCAGCTTACATTGCTAATTAGGCCTATAATTAATCATTTTAAGGCCTCTGACAATTTCAAAGAATCTGGACATGAACATGCATACATTTAGGAGATGTTAGGCCTATTACTTACCAGCGAAGAAGAGGAAATAATGGGCTTTCATCGGCAAGAGAACTAAATTGATGGAGTCTGTGATTGCCATCTTGCTCAAATTGCCTTCAGTCTGATTTATGAGAATACTATAGGATTAGGCTGGCCGAAAAGCCAGTCTCAATGGGCAACCATTCACGCGAGGTTCATCGTCACAGTGCCTATTGCAAAAATAAAAAATAAAAACTCGGAACAAAAGATAGGGTCGATAAATAGGCATACAGAACTGTATTCTTGAACATGTTTGCTAACGTTCGATAAGTATTAGTGGGACCTCCGTTGGCTGTGATAGATATGGAAAACTTGAAAGATGTCAGTTGGCCTATCTCAGGATATCAAGAGAGTTTAGTTGTATCAAGAGGCGATAACACCCATTTGGATACCACGTGTCGAGGCATAGATCACAGCCTACCGATTTGATACTTCGCTTGAGTCTAACACGTTTTCATCGGACATCTCATCCTACGACATCCCTTAATAACGAATTGAATTTGCTTCGCGGTCCATTACTTTTCCTCTGCAATGGCGGCCTTTAGAAGCAACCGGCACCCTTCATCCAAACAAATACAGTAGAACCAGCGGGGTATTCTTTCGTTTTATGGTCACTATCAATTCCCTGTGAACACCGCATATGAATCCCAACTTCGTTTTGTGAATAATGATTTCCAATGAGGGCTGAACCTAGACACCCACGTTCAACGTGGAACGGATTGCCTCGACGTAACGGGGCAACCACGGCCGGGATGAACCTCTTCCATTCAGGTCACGTTGCAGAATGGCAATATTTCTCAGGGTGCTCTGCCCCTCCTTCCTCCGCGCCACCGTCGTATCCGACCCAGGACCCCTGGCGTGCATGCACCGTGTTCAGCTAGAGTCTAGTGGGATCCGCGCCCTCGTGGCCGGTTTCCGGCCAACTCCTGCGGTTGCTGCCGGCCGGTCGAGGTTGGTCTGCCGAACGTGGGACGACATGCACGCGATGCATGACATGCCGGCGGCAGCAGTCGCCAGGCAGTGGGTCCCACGCACAACCTTACCTGTCACCGGCGTCGATTGCGTGTCCGCTACAAGTCAGGAGAGTTAGTGATATCAAGAGGCGATTTCGCCCATTGCGATATCACGTGTCGAGGGCGAGCGTTCCTTCGGTTACCTCTCGTTCTCTTGCCGTCATCAATCTGGAAGAACCTACCACACTCGACATTATCTATTCCTTTAATTATCTTGAAAGCCTGGATGAAAGTCTTCCGATCCAGTCACCCGAGCGATGCTCAGACTCGTCCCGTCCTACCAGTCTTGGAACACGGACCAAGGAGCAGGGTTGACCCTAGCTACTTCAGCGCCCTGTGCGAAGAGACTCCCAATGCCCTCCCGCTCTCCCCCAGAAGGAAGAAGGGTCAATCCCTAGCGTCCAAAACGACGCCGAAGTGGGTGTTTCCGCTTTATGAAGTAAAACTGAAGGTGGCATCCATTCTGGCACGTTTTAGCGCCCCTGGTGAATTTGCGCCCTGTGCGAGGGCACATGTGGCAAATGCCGAAGGCCGACCCTGCCAAGGAGTCTAACACGTGTGCGAGTCATTGGGTGCAGAGAAACCCACAGGCGCAATGAAAGGCGTTGAACGTGGAAGTTTCAGGTTGCAGAATCGATGCGGAACAGAATAACAACTGATCCATTTGCGATTTTTAACTCTAAAATAGGCTCAGCAGTGTACACGCTTGGTGTGCACGGCACAAACCCAGGTGTTCACAAGACGAAGTCTATGGGTGAAATGCACCGAATCCATTTAAGCTAAACTAATCTGATCTCACAATGGTCCCCTCTGGAAATCAGTTTAACCGATAAACTTATTCCCATAGATGCCCATTATGAAAACGAATCAGTTTAAAGTTAAACGGATCTGATGCATATTACCCTATGTAAGCTAGGTGTGCATGAGACGAAGGAGTGGCAGGGGGCACACACTCCCCCCACCCCCACTTTCTCCATTGCTTATGAATAGGACCCCGATTTTATTAAACAATTGGGGATTGTAGAGTTCATAAAACTGAGCGCCTCAAAATTACAGAAGGTACGGAGTTTTCAATGATAATAAGTTCATTTGCTAATCCGTCTGTGATACTGTACATAACGAACAGTAAAAACTGTATTTCACCTCGTTGATCGATGGATATAATATTTTTTCTCGTTGGGTAAAAAATGTTTCATGTAACTGGTCGTTCATAAAATCGGGGTTTTACTGAGTGACATCTGCTGTTACTGTCGCCGTCGCCGCAAATTTTCAATATATTTAATAAAAAATGTGTAATCCAGCAGTCCCCTTTACATTTGCGAAGCCATAAAATCATGCATTACCCGTGGCTTTACACTGAAACTTTTTCTCAAATAATTCCCTGATTTCGATATCTTTTCTCAGTAATATGGCAGTGCTGAAATCATGCACGCCTTACTTTGGCCACGGTACGACAACGTAGGAATTTATTACGCAATAATTTGCAGAGTGTGCCAAAATGGTACTTTTTGTTTCATGGCCTCAGCGGCTTTAGGGCTCACCTTACTGCCGATCACAATTCCTCATGTTTTACCTCTTCCATCGGTTAACTCTTGCCTTCGTTCTCTGAACCTTTTTCGGATTAAATTCGTAACCACCACCACCCCTCCCCCTCCCTCCCTGGGTATTGGCGGACGGAGTAAACACTACATACTTCCAGAGGATCCGCTTCATCAAATGATCCTTGAAACAATCTGTCTGGGAGACGTTTCTGCCTGCAATTGATGGAAACCCTCCTGTTGGAGGGTACGAATTCAATCTCAAAACAATGTAAAAGCTTCAAAATTATCTAAATTTGAAGGAGCTTTTTCCACGGTAGGGAAAGGAACTGGGAACGAAAGGACAAATACGCTTCTGTCATGCATGCAGATTTCTCCTATAACACCGCTTCTGCGGCATAAAATGAACACGCAACCTCTCTGATTGTTGTCAGTTTTACTTGTCACGTCGGTCACACCCCGTAGCGTTTCGCTACAAGGACAGAGAAGAATGCTACACCACTTACCGGAACGGCGAACTCATCTTCGGACCGAGACACCAAGAGAGAGATTCTCCGCAAGGAACATCAACAGAAAAGGACACAACACTCCAAAAAGTTCGCATCGGCTGTCCGCCATCCTCTGCAGACAGTGAATTTGGCCCAGGCTGAGCCACACTTGTCTGGCACGGGAATGTCACGGCTAAGCGCGAAGGTCTGGTGTTCTGAGATCAATACTAGGGTGGATTTTTGAACAGAGAACTATCTGATAATGCAGCTTTATTTACCGGATTTACAATGCATTTTCTCTGAAATAAAGCAGCATTATCCGATAATGCAGCTTTATTCCAAGGAAAATAGCATGCATTTTAGTTGGAATAAAGCTGCATTATCGGATAGTATTCTGTTCAAAAATCCACCCTACATGATATTTCCTGGAAATAAAGCAGCACTATCGGATAGTTCTCCGATAATCCGATAATGCAGCTTTATTTCAGGGAAAATGCATAATAAATCCGGTAAATAAAGCTGCATTATCGGATAGTGCTCTGTTCAAAAATCCACTCTTAGGGTGGATTTTTGAACAGAGCATTATCCGATAATTTTAGTGATGCGTTGCTTCAGTCCAATGATCGTGCGCGAATTTTCGGGATATACCTGGTCTCAATTTCAAAAGCGAAATCTAGTATTGCTGTTCCATGCATGCATAATCCTCGATCGTAGCACTCAAGTGTATTATCCAATAGAGCAGGATTATTTTAGAGCTCGGTTCAAAAATCCACCCTCGGTCTTTCCGATGGAAAATGCTCGGTTCCTTCAGATTTCCAGGGCTCGAGAATAGTCACTCAGTCCAATCCAAATGTTTAAATTCGACACGGATTGGTCCTGCAGCATAAAGGACAAAACGAGGCCAACGAGAAGCCTAAGTGTATCAGAAAAAAATGAAATTTTGCTACACCTGAAGACGAAGCGATACCTCACCGAGATCAAATTACTCGCGCGTGACTAATTTGATCTCTGTGCATGCGTGAAGGTAATACGTACCCCGCTGCAATTACAACCATGTTTCCCTGCCAACATTGGCTTGTTATGGGACAGAACTGGCATGAAAAGTTTGCGATTTCGTTACGAAAACTCGTTTCTGGTGATCGGTACAAGAAATTTACTTTGCTATACTTCACAATCAGGGGCGCAACCAAGGGGAATCTGAACCCCCCCCCCAAATCCCTGGTCATGATGGTATCTCTCTACTTTTCCATCTCTTTCTCCCCCAAGGGTGGGGGACGCAGAAAGTTATCATGAGAGACCTGAGAACGAGGCGTGAAAGGCACAAAGATAGAAGGTGAAAGGTGAAGGTCACGTTAGTCACCCAGCAAACAATTTGAAACACATAATGTTGGATCAACGTCGAATTAACATTGAATAAACGCTCGAAACGTTGGCACAACGTTGGTCCAACGTAGCCCTGTTTGCTGGGTATTCACTTTAGTAAAGTGAACCTGTCAAGGAAACGTCCTACACATGTGACACTACTGAATTTTTTTCTGAAAACGGAAGGACGATGATTCAAATAAAAGGCGTGAATCGCGTACAGGTTAACGAATTTCCAGTTGCATATCTGCGCAGTGATATTTGGGCTGAATCCCGAAATTGATTTAGTTAATTTAAACTTTTTTCAGATATTGAATGTGCTTTTATCATTTAGAGTTCAAATTCCGTTTCCACCATTTCATAACATTTTTCTTCGTTTCATTATCTTTGTTCGCGTGTTCGCGCCGTTTCGCGTTTTTGCTGAGTATATGATGATTTGAAAACGCCGCCTTGCATTCGGAGACATTGGTAAGACAGATCATGAGAACTTCGAACCCCCACCCAAACTTTAGGGCTGATTGTGCCACTGTTCGCAATATTGTAATTAGTTACAACGTTTCAAAATTTACACAGCGAGATACTGAGGCCAACCAGATGTTTATGAATTTTTCGTTAAAGCGTACTTCGTTAAAACGAGCGCTAACTGCATTAATTATCGAAGGCAGGAGTGTCAAACTCAAATCGGTCGACGGGCCGCATGCCTTCCACTGCAGATGCCTGTAGGCCGCACCCATAATTTTTCACAAAAAATTTGCTATTCACTCAGTTTTCACCCTTCCAACTTTGGGACACACCAAATAGAAGCTTTTCTCATCGATGGCGGCTGTCAGCATGTACCCACTTTTAAATCTGTGGACGTATAAAAATTTGTTAGGAACAGGCCCCCAGATTTGACTCGTAAAATCCTCGTGCATGCAACTCGCACGCAGCCGCAACATCGGCAGCACTGCAGTTGTGTTGGCAGCAGCGGCAGCAGCTCTGTCGTTCGAGCAAGCGGCGTAGCAAGGGAGGGGGGCGGGGGGGCTGAAGCCCCCCAACTCTGGTCTAAATGCATTCGCCACCGCCCGCCATCTCCCCCCCCCTCTATTGACAAAATCATCCTGGCTACGCCACTGTGTTTGAGATCGCACACCTGTCTATGTAGCTCATCGGATGCTACCACCGCCGCTCCGCGCTGCTCCTGCTCTGAGGCAGGCGAGTGAATGAAGCCCAAAATACATGGAATGAAACCGGCTGCCCCTCCGTGACTGCTGCGGGTTGTCAACAATCCCCCTCTATTCGAATGGTGAATTATTCGAATACCTGGCCTGGCCTGGATCAACCAGACGACGCCATCGTCTAATTGAAAATAGTGAAGGGTGAGGGCGCCTTCAACT